AGCTGCGTGGGTCACTGTGTAGCCAAATATGATGCAAAAAAGTCAACATTTAGTTTCTTTACAGTCCTATTTGTTTCTTTTTATGGTTAATCATACATCGACATGTTATAGTTCAACATTACAGCCTGGCTTGTCCTAAATGAACAATTCACTTGGTAAATTAACCACAAATACTGGCTCAAGATAAATGTTGGATTACATAACCAATTATAGCCTCTAATAGGTGAAGGTGTATTGGGGTTTTATGGTAGAAAATGCATGCAGTTGCTGACTGATAAACACTCATTGGAAAGTAGCTGGCTAAGCCTGCAGTATGTTTATTTATGCACAACATATTCATCCAGAGAGCAATTATGATGTTGAAATCCTAGTGGCTACTAACTTTTTGATTAGCATGTCCGAGCTAATTAGTTTTACTGTCATTAGGGGAAGTGTTAGAGTGCTTATTTGTCTCATATGTGCCCGGTGCAATCATGTGAAGTCGCTGGAGGAGAGGAGTGAGTGGGTGTGGCCCTCATCCTGCTGTGGCCTGACCCAGAGAGGAGACAGATCTGACTCCAGGCGCTACATCCATGGCTAATTACAGCTGTTGCCTAGCAACTCCAGCAGCGGGAGCCGGCGGTCCAGGAGCAGCCCAGTGGTCCGAGCGGCATTAGTCAAACATGTGATGGATCTTCAAATGACCCCTGTGTGACCCCTGACCCCTAACCCTCTGACATCGAAGAGTCAACTGCATCTGCACTAAATGATACGGGAGCTGGCAGCTATATAGTCTTTATGGAAAATAGAAGCAGTTCAAGTCAGCTGAACCTTACCCTTAAAATCTGCTATTATCTAATCATAGGTTTGTACTTGAAATAACAACCACAAAGGTCAATAGTATCACTGAATCATTCTATTATCTGTAGACTTTAAGTAAGTTAGAAGTATTTCAGGGTTGGTATTTCTTCATTATATTATTCAATTGTTCATATTGTTAAATTACTAAAGCAACTCTCCATACAATTATCTAAACTACAATTATCTTTGATCATTTGACTTGTGATAGGCTATCTCGCACACTTTACTCTTTTATTGCCGGACTTACAGCAGACCCTGTCTCTGAATTCCACCTCAGTGTCTCTTGTCTCATGTACATCCACTTTTGCATACGTGATTAGTGGGCCTGTGTTTTGTCTTTCAGCACATGCTTGTTGTCCTCCCTGTGTCCCTGCTTCTCTGTCTTATCCCCCGGTGAGTTGTGTCTCTCAACCACACGTACACACACAATGTCCCAAGACCTCCTCCTCATAATTACCACCCTTGTTTTTACCACAGGGATGCCAGCAAGCTAATTACTGAGAAATAATCACATGTTTGTCAAGACCCCTGCAATCTCGGCTATGTAAATGACTTCTCCTCCTGACGAGCTGCCTCACGCACGTAAACAGCAGCAGTTTGTCTCCTGAAGATTCGCTAATGAAATGATTTTCCTGTTCAGAAACAAATATGTATAAATGATGATCAAAGAACTACAATTATGGCGTGTGTCACATGTTTTCTGTTCAGGTGTGAGATAAACAATGTGATTTACTGTTCTTATATTACCAGGAAGTATAATATTGATGGAGAGTATATTGTGTTTATTTCAGTGATGGATGGAAGCCGTTTGCACTGCAGTTTTTGTTCTGACCAAACTAAATAAACCCATAACTTTCTCTTTCAGTAAATGTTTTGTCTATAGCCATCCCACTTCTATTTATCCATAACATAAAAAATAAGAATATGTAAATGGATTTTCTCTCTCCCAGTACAAAAACGTCAACTTTAGCATATCTGAACTTAAAACTGATATATTTCAGCTACATCCTATTTATTTAAAGTCACTCTATGCATTTTTTTAAAGTTAAAAATAGACTAAATTACTATATTTCTGTTGTTTTTTGGCTCTGATTTTTAACAGTATGGCATAAAATATATCTATCTATCCATACAAATTAAAGTTTTTAACTTTCTACTTTCATGAAATAATTCAGACAATGTACCACCTCCAGAAAGTTATTTTAAAAGGTCCTATAATTACAGAAAATTAATCCTTGCAAGCTTTAAGCCATGTTAAAATCTTGTAACCCCATTAAAAACATACCGGGAATTGTGTTTTGTTTCATTCACACGTGTTTGAGTAACCTTTTATTGCTCTGTTCACATCCCCATAGTTCAAAATGCTCTGTTCCACCTTGTGATGTCATGGAGTGACAGTTTTCAAGTTATCTGTGCAGTAGAAATGGTCAATCCTAGGGCTGAAATTATCCAAATGATTCTAGTGAATGTGTATGGAGTTTAAAAACATTGTGGAGCTCTTCCTGTATTGGCAGGAACATGACATCACAAGCAGAGTGCTTTCTGTTTGAGAACTCAGCCTAAATATGCAGAATTTGTGTGTTAAACGTGGATGAAACAAAACACTCTCAACTCCATGTATGTTTTTATGAGGAAACAACATAAAACAGATAGTCAATAATATGGCCCCTTTAAGGAAATTTAAGTGAGTAAGTCTTGTAGTACACAAGCCCTGATATACACATAAAGAAGCTTCCATTTGCTTTATATATGTCCTGTATATTGCAGGTCAGCTGCTTCTGAGAGGTTCACTCCATGTGGGTGTGAAGTCTGAAGATCATCAAACAGACAACCACTTGAGCAGTACACCTTAAGTACATGCTTGACCTTTTATTACAACTTATCTTTTACTGCCAAGATCAATTAGTTCGCTTATCCACACGTACAGACCCTTTCAAAATGTGTGAACAAAAGCATTCTAACTTCTGGAATGGAGGCAAAAGTGAAATGGAACATAATCTGATTTCAATGGGAAAACTAGGATTAATCACAAAATATAAAAAAATATGAAAAATCAAGTCAAATGAAAACCTCTCTGATACAGGAGAGAGAGAGAGAGAGAGAGAGAGAGAGACATTTACAACAGTGTATTTGTTCATTTAAAAAGAGATTATGATAAACACTAAGCATTTAGATATAGAAAGTTGTATTTCTCCATCCTGATTAACAGAGAAACAAATTAACTAAATGTATGTATGTATGTATGTATGTATGTATGTATGTGTGTATGTATGTATGTATGTATGTATGTATGTATGTATGTATGTATGTATGTATGTATGTATGTATGTGTATGTATGTATGTATGTATGTATGTATGTATGTATGTATGTATGTATGTATGTATGTATGTATGTATGTATGTATGTGTGTATGTATGTATGTATGTATGTATGTATGTATGTGTGTATGTGTGTATGTATGTATGTGTGTATGTATGTATGTATGTATGTATGTATGTATGTATGTATGTATGTATGTATGTATGTATGTATGTGTGTATGTGTGTGTATGTGTGTATGTGTGTATGTGTGTATGTATGTATGTATGTATGTATGTATGTGTGTATGTGTGTATGTATGTATGTATGTATGTATGTATGTATGTATGTATGTATGTATGTATGTATGTACGTACGTGTGTACTAATATGTGTAACATGGAAACTCAAAATTGTCTTTTGGTTATAATGTTGCATATACATAGAGCTGTTTACCAGTTAATCATTGAAAATATATCATCTTGGCTTCACTTTGCCTCCATTTGCCTTCATTGCAGAATTTTGAACATTCTGATGACATAGGAATTTAAAGGGTCTATCGAACTTTTGTTTCCTTTACAGAGCATCTGTTTAGCTGTAACAACTGTCTGGAAATAGGTTTAGCCGAAGTACCAGATATATTTTTCTCTACATTTTTTAAATATACTTCCTATTTCCTACTAAGTGAAAATCAATGAAAGTAATTCTACAAATGTGAGGCTGCGTTTGGCATTATCTCAAACTTTTGCTGAACTTTTGCACAGCCAGATGTGCTCTTTCTGTAAAGTAAAAAGTGCAATTGCATCATTATTGTTTATACCAAGCATGGTCCGACAATGTCATCTTGAGTGCACATTGGGAGAAGCAGCCAACATATTTTATGCTCTGCTCCATTTCACTATGGCCAAACTATATACTGTATATGTTTGCTAAAATGAGCTGAGCAGCATCCACTTACATCAGCTGACCCAGCACTGACACTATTCTGATTTGACTTTTTATAACCGTGTTAACATTTTAGTGAACTTTAAAATGACAAAAATGACAACATAATATTTAAAGAGGGGATGCACCAATCCAACTTTTTCAGTTATGATATAAATTTCCTTACTATGGCCTTAAGAATCTGCCTATACCCAATATCAATACAAGTGCAGAAACTGAAAGCACAGTTTGTTTCTTTAAAACAAAAAAAAATAAGACAAAACTGATCCAAAACTGATTATGGAGCAGTTATTTATCTCTGAAGTAATGCCAGAACAAATTTCTATAAATAAAAACTCAAACATTATGAGACTTTCTGGGTTGACTACAGTCTCTAAATAATAATATTACATCTATTTATATGTCCAACAGGATATCGTCTGAACCGATATTTGGAACTCGATCATTTTTGGCGCTGATATTCGATATCAGTACAGGATTGGTGCATCCCTAATAACAATATAAAAACTCTCTAATCATGAATAACTAAAAAAAATAATATCACTCTATAAGCACTCTATTCTGTTCTAAAATTCCAGTTGCTTTCATTTCTATAGAAGTCTTACAGACTCTCTCCAGGTGGGTGGTGCATTTCTCTCCTCTCCTCCATCTCTAATGGAGCAGAATAGTGGTTTAAATCTATCACTAGGTGGCCATTCCTCTGTCTCACTTGACGCAGTAAAACACACAGCTCACCCCCTACTTGCTGTTAGGAGGCTTTTATTTATATTAGAACACCACACCGAGGATACAGCCCTACATTCAGAAGTAGGACAAGTAAAGGCTGGTGTCTCATCTGCCACTTTACTGAATATTCTCTTTCTTCTACCCCCCATCCACACCCTGTCCCATCTCCACATACCTCTCCTCCCCCTCACGTCCCCTGGCTCTCCCTCTCTCCCCTGACCTCCTTCTGAGCTACTGTGGTCCTTGCAGTACACACGTCTAGTCATTAATAACAGCGCACGCTCTGTTTTTCCTGCCAGAGGACCAGTGCGTCGCTGTCATCTTGACACAAATTAATTCCCCTTATTTATCTCCTGGCACCAAGGCCGGCATTGGCGCAAAAACTGTTTATGGAAAAAAAGGACAAAGAATTATAGATGGTGTGTTCTTGATGACAGGGCCATTTGTTTCTCAAATAAGAGTGGAGATAAAGTTCATAACAAACATTTTGATAGCAGGGAAAGCGCAGGCTCTTATCAATCTCAGAGGGAATTATGTGCTGTTAGATGGTAATAGGATTCACACGATGCACAGGGCAAAGCAAATGGTTTCTAATGGTGTTTCATCATGACTTTAAAAGAAGACAAGCAGGATAACAGAGGCCATGTGTTAAACACACTATTATGCCTATCAGAATATGACCAGCACAACATTTATATCCTTTTACAGTCTAGAGACTAGCTTTGAAAGACTATACCTCCTAATGCTATTTTATTTTAGGCTCTGTGGTACAAATAGGATTGAGAGAATGCCAGCTACTTCTATTACCCAGAAGTCTTTGCACATTTATATAGTCGCCATTTTATTAAAATTATTTATCCACCATGGTTGTCAAGATTATTGGATAAATCAATAATCATAATTATTCACATCACAATAAAATTGTAAAAAGTAAACCCAATAAGTCTGGTGTCATAAAGCCAGTCTGATCTGAATTATGATTAACATAAGAATAATATAGGATTTCCCGTTAATTTGTTTTTATTTTTTCAAAATATTGATTATTATCCACTTATTATCCCATAGTGCTATTTGCAATCTGGTTTAGTCTTTGTCCTACTCCTCCTAGTCTCCTAGTCTCAATTGGATTTGCTCTAAATCCCATTCTAGTCCTTGTTTTATGCCTTATAAGAATTCCCATTCTTATAAAGTAGTTACTCTATGGTTAGTCCTTATATCATGTTTCATTCTATTGAATTACACATAGTTGTTAGGCTTATTTTAGTGAAAAGACAAAGATATTCCCGAAAAAGCCAAATATTTTCTGAGATACTATTTTCTGTTATAGTGGCCCAGCAGTATACTTTAATGAATGGAACCATTTATGTAGATCAGGGCTAGCTCTAAACCTGCCTCCCTTTGACTCTTATTTTAAAAACATTTATGACTTCTATCCCCAGTCGGCAGCTTTGAAAATGTACTTCCAAAGGTCTCTTTAAGTGAATCACACTTTGAAGCAAAACTACAAAGTATTTACTGTAGCAGCCAGAGTGTGTCAGGCTCTCTGCAATCTACGTGATAATGTGAAATGCACAATGAATGCATTTTAATTAAAGGGCCTATTGGTAAAACTTGTCATAAATAAAGTATGCATGTATTTGACTCCCCCCTCTCATTCTGGACCTAACAATTGGGGGTTTTGAAGAGTCTTCTCCATCCCAAAAATATTCACATATTCAGCACCACTTTATGATTCAGGCTTAGCAATTAAGGGGTTAGGAGCTGGGGGAGTGAATAATAAGCAGTGAATAATTCTTAATATTTGTTCATTAGGGATTAGGGAAGATTAAGATTAATAAGATATTACACATGTAGTTAAATGGTCACATTTTTACATAGCACTGACAGATGTGTACTGGGGGCAAGATGGGTTAAGCATCTTGCCCAAGGACACAACAATAGTGTCTGGATGGAATGGAATATCTGTGGGGAGCTGGAATTGCATTGTCAACCTGTGGGTCAGTGGATCTGACCACTCTACAGATGACATTTATATCGAGAGTGGGATTCAAACCGCCAAACTTCGGATCAGTGGACAAACACCCGTGCAGTTAAGTTAAGTATTACCAAGTATCCAACAGTCAATCACCAAATCTTCCTGTCAGTCCTTCAACTACTGGACTAGGATTCCTTACAAAAACTGTCATTTATAGTACAGTAGTATAGAGAGCAGTCTAGAGTCATTTATAATAGTATAATAGTAGTAGTATCAATTATAATCTGGAGATAATTGGTAAAATATCTACACACACAAAGTACAAATGTAGATGCATTGGACAGATGAAAGTAAAATCTAGAAGCTAGTCCTCAGAGCCTGGGCCGACAAGCTGTAAACATCAGTTCACTTTAAAGACACTATATACAATGCAATAAATACAGCGCTACATTCATCGCGTCCATGTCCATTTAGGTATTTCTATTCATAATTCAATATGCGCTCCATAATGTGTAAATTTAAATCCCAGGGCAGAGGCAGCAGCAGCAGTGCCGGCATTTCCTCATTCAAATCTACAACGCCCCAGCCGCTTTGACAGTGAGCAATGGATTTAATAGCCGGAGAACAGCTTGTCAGCAGTCTCCAAAACACCTTAGGAGACTTTGTACTCATCTCTCTGTCCTCTAGGGGGCTGTGGTGGGCGGGCTGTGGCTAGATTGGAAAATACCAATGTCAACAAAGTGTGCGGATAATGCACATGATTCATTGTGAAGCTGTGATCCCTTGTTAGGGACAGTATATAAAGGGCGGATTTTGGTGTAAGTGTCAAGGTTGGAGATGATAAACAATAGGTTTATACTCAGCAGACATTTGGCTAGGAACCCAAAAGGTAGCCTATAAAATGCACAAAAGTAGACACAATTTGGAAAACTATGAAAATCATTATGATTTTAACTCGTCATTGTGTTGTTTCTATCCAATTATAAAGCATTTTTCTCAGTCATAAACCAAGTAGCTTCTGAAGGTTGTAAAAAGCACTTATAAACATGAATACTGTATTTTTTGGACTATAAGTCGCACTTTTTTTCATGGTTTGTGTGGTCCTGCAACTTATACTCCGGTGCAACTTATATATTAAAATTTTCACACTGACAGCTGCAAGAGAGTGCTTGTGTGTCAGTATCTGCTATTACTATTACTTCTGTGCCACTGTCACTTCACCCTTTACTGCGCATGTCATCTGCAGAAAAAGCCGCTGTCCTACTGCAAGTACTGAAATATGCAGCTGAAAATGTTAATTGAGCAGCAGAAAGAAAGTTAACATACTAGAGGCTAGGGGTGGGCGATATATCGATATTTTAAATATATCGAGATAGTTTTTAAACTCAATATGAATTCTGACATATCGTATATATCGATATAATGCTTATATTCAATTTAGATTTCGCCACTTCGCTTGTTTACCTTCTCTCTCGTCGCCTCTGCCTCCCTGATTTTGTTCGCTCGTGTCTTCTTCACTCCTCACTACCACCGTGAACGCCGAAAGTTGGTGCCAGTGAAAAGCTTCAAGCACCACAAACCTTTTCCACCATTTACAGACAAGAACATCAGCAGCACATTCTCAAATTCCACCGAGTCGCGTCCTTTAGCCCGAAAGAAGCTGAACGAGCCGAGCTGCAGGAGAAGTGCGCTGTTTATGTAAATGAGCCATGCGCTTAAGTTTCGTTTCTGTAAAATGTAAACACACGTGCAATTATCGCAAACGGTCTGATGTGGCTCTAAAGTCGTTATGCTTTATATATTGTAAAGTTTATTTATGCAGAATATTTTAATGAATAATCTGCTGCAGTGTCACTTGTACAATAGTGTTTGGAAACGTTGGGTTTGATCTGCAGTGGATTGTGGGAAACCTCAGAGCTCCTTACTGCTGGATAAGAACATGGATCTATTAAAATAAGGAACATCCTGAGCTTCCTCTGCTAAAGCTCACGGTTATGATTATGGTCTGGAAAACAGAGTTAATGCAAAGATGAGCTTGTGTTGAGTTGTTTTATTTATGAATGAAAAGAAGGAAATATGTTTTATTTCTTTTATTTTACAGTTAAATGATTATTTATGTAATTAGGGCTTTTTGTAATCTTAAATGTTCCTATATGAACTGTCGACCTCTTACACTTCAATTATAAAAAAAAGACCTTGTGGAATTTGGCATATTTGTTTTAGCAGTTTTCAGTTTTAGGGGGTTATTTTTTTCTTGAACATATATCGAGATATATATCGTATATCGAGATATAGCAAAATATATCGAGATATATTTTTTGATCCATATCGCCCAGTCCTACTAGAGGCCTATTCAGTCTGTTGTTCTCTATTCTGTTGTTATTACTATAACTTGTGTTTCAAGATGAAATGTTGGTTCCTGGTCTCTGATTTTATAAAATAAATTTCCCCCCAAAAGTGTGACTTATATTCCGGTGCGACTTGTATATGTTTTTTTTTTTTTTCCTTTATTACGCATTTTTTGGCTGGTGAGACTTATACTGTACTCCGGAGCGACTTATAGTCAGAAAAATATGGTAATTAAATTGCTGGGAATGACAATATGTTTACAAATTATACAGTTTTAAAGGGGCACTTTGCAACTTTTCTGGTTTACAGTCCGCTACCTTCTTGTCCCCATGGAGATATTATTGCTTTGCCTGGAATTTTCCATGGTATGACATTAAACACATCTATTTAGCATTTATCCATTAGAGGTATTTCTATGGCTCAAAAATGCAATAAATCTCTCTGAATAGTTTTGCCTCTCCGCAGATCTGACCTATAAGGTAATCTATATAGTTATCTCCCAAGGTTTCATCTCTACTGTGGAACATACTAGACAAAGCAATAACATCTCCACAAAGACAAGCAGGTGACAAATTCTCTATTAAAACCTCTTATTCTACTTAAAATGTCTGTGCAACCATTTTTCAAAATCTGACAAGAAATAACATCAAATCGTTTATTAATTGATTCCTAATTTCCTACACAACTGTTGCACAATCCTGTTTGATAAAATTGGATTGGTTGCATTGCTTTTGTGCTATGTAAACGCTAATTACTTTGCCATTCTGAATACATAATGAAATGACTCACTGAAGTGTCGTGTGATTATATTAAAAGGCTGCCAGAGCGGTGAGGATACCTTGCCAATGCTGTCGCCACAAGAACATGTAGTGCCTCTTAAAAAGCCATGCAGTTATACAGCGAGAAG